AAAATACCACCGGTCGTTATCTTATCTGGTAGAGAAAAAATGCTGAGAGTTTGGAGGGAATCGGCCGACCTCGATCCGTGGACTCTACCTGGTCCTTACTGACAGTGACACTTAAGCAATAAACCAGCTGCTTTTCTACCTAAGTTGTCTTTTCAAGCTGTCAATGATATATGTAATAACATGTTTGAAGAAACAGCAAGCGCCAGAAAAGGCGTTTCGAATGTCCATCTTTTAAAAGAAGCATAGTGTATAACTCACTTCGTGACTTTACTACACTGGGAAGTGTTAGCAGTGATAGTTAACCGCAGTGTGTGGTCAAACATTATCTTGCAGGTTTATATGGCAGCAGAAAACTTTACTGGAGATGGACGGCAGAAACTATTATGTTCCGAGGGTTTAGCTGCTGGACTATACAGCCACTTGACATTTCTTTTAGTTTTAAACTCTTTTCTGTCCGTTACTGCATTTCTCGGGAATGCTCTGATTCTAATTGCTCTCCCCAAGGAGTCTACCCTTTTTCCGCCGTCCAAACTCTTGCTTCGTAGCCTTTCAACAACTGATCTCTGTGTTGGTCTTATTTCGGAGCCTCTCGCTGTTACCTATTGGATGTCTGAGGTGAATGAACATTGGAATATTTGTCGCTATGTATCAGTGGCAAGTTTTTTCTCAGCCTCTGTTTTGTGTGCAGTGTCTCTAATGATATTGACTGCGATAAGCGTAGACAGACTTCTCGCCCTGTTGTTGGGACTGAAATACAGACAAGTTGTAACTTTAAAGCGAACCTACGTGATCGTTATTAGCTTTTGGATTGTGTCTACTGCCACTGCAGCAATGTGGTTTTGGAATCCCGTTATAACTCTATGGTATAGCTTGATAGGTGTACCAATGTGTCTACTAATCTCGACCTTCTCTTACGCAAAGATTTTTCTCAAGCTCCGTCATCATCAAAATCAAGTACAAGGTCATGTTCAACAACCGAACCAAACAAATCATCTGAACATAGCTCGATATAAAAAGGCAGTGTCTACTGCAATATGGCTGCAACTGACGCTGGTCGCTTGTTATCTACCCTATGGTATAGCGGAGGCTTTGGTGACTAGTAGTGGACGATCTTCACCTGTTTCTCACATTCGGTTTTATACAGCCACTTTAGTTCACCTGAACTCGTCATTAAATCCGATACTTTACTGCTGGAAGATAGTAGAAGTCAGACAAGCAGTAAAGAACATAATCCGACAAATTCTTTGTCATTGTTTTTCGGGTTAATCCTGTAGACAACGACAAAAGATTAAAAACTTATTGGTGTTTGCAAGTTAAGATTTTAGCAGGTTAATTCTCTTCAGGGTTGTCTTGAATTAAAGCTGGTGCTTATTCTTATAATTTATCGGTATTATTTGTTTCAGGAGCAGTAAGATGGCCGTCAGAGAAATTTCTATCGTTGTTGTTAATAAAAAAAATTGTCTCCGATGACGACTAGTAATTTTACAACTGTAAATAAAGAGATGAAAAACAATAAATTATTGCTCTTCTCCGTGTAGACTTCATTCCACACAACATTCAAACATGGTTTAATTAAGATAACAGTTGATGTACTTTTTTCCGCTGGAAATAAATATATGAAAAACGAAAATAAATTCAATGCTACGTAGAAACCTACACGTTACAAATTATTCTGACACAGTTTAATTAATTAAGATAAGCAGTCAGCGGGTTTTGATGTTTCTTTTCGTTCATAACACAGCTAGAAAGCCACAGGAGAGATGGTTGCCAATTCTACCACGGAAATGAATACTTTCCTGCGTACTGATCCGGGAACTAAGGTCTAAGGATTGAAAACGTACAGTCGGCTACGAAAAGACACTTTTTAAAATCGAGTTCTTGATGTTTACGGTCATTGCCTCGATTTCAGTTTCTCCATGGTTCGTCTTCAGCTTTGGTTCCACTGAAAACTCAAAACTTACTATATATTCACCAAAGTGATGATTTGTTAAACATTTATAGGATAAAATGGATATATGCAGGGTGAATATTTGACACTAAGGTGGTAGGTTTCACAAAATTGAGAATTGTTTCTTGACGCAAAAAGACAACTTCGTAAGCTTCATGAGTAATTGAATTATTAGTCTATCTACATAGGTTCTGAGAATCGCCTTGCTCGTTAATTGCTAAATCACTCAAAGCTAGCGTGGCGGGCATTCTTGTTAAATTTATCAAACCGTGCAGTTAAAAATAAAAGGTTTCTGAAGCAAACATTGCTCTCTCGAGATAGCCCGTCTGTCTTGAATATTGAACGAGTGCAGGTATATTTATTCAAGTAAAGTACCAGGTGGCGCCTTTTAATTTGTGGCCTTAATTATTACGATCAACATCTTACTGTGTCCGTGTATCTAGCTTGTGCATTAAATGCTTATGCGCTATTCTATGGTTTAGAACAAGAAAGAGATAAATGTGGAGACAAAATTCTGAAAAAAATGACCCATATTTAATGGCGATGGAAACAGGGAAATACATTCTCCGTGAACAAATTGAAACATTTTTTTTTTTTTTTAAAGGAACAAGTTTGTCTTCTTCCTCCTTAGAAAGGCTCATATCTTTTACATAATGCGTGTGGGCTTTTTGGAAACGTTAGGACTAAAACGACTTTTAGTTAGTCATTTTTAATGGAACTTTTTCTTAGTCCCTTTTTTAAAATAATGGACTCTGTGAAGTATCGGCCGTTCAAATTAGTGATTGTGGGCGCTAAAAAGATGAAGGCAAACCACCTGATTCGGTAGAATCGACACATTTGATCAGATCCACTTTCACTCCTGTGTTTTCATTTCAGTTTTGGGGGACTTATATTCTTTTACAAAATAAACAAAGCAGACCTGTTTGCCAACCAGAGTGAAGGAAATGAAGTTTGTCAGTAGTTTAATTAACAAAGGAACAGTGAATTTACAAAACGTTTTACCTGCTATAACATGAACAGGTCACCATTTCAACATACCAAATCTGACTGAAATCAGCCAAATTGCCTTTGAGTTGAAAATTTTCAAAGTGCCGGTCCCCATCCGGCGAAAGCAAAGTTTTGAGAAATCGTCAATTAGCTGTCAATCAATACGAAACTTTTACTTCCGCTTGAAAACGACTGTGTCCATATTTCCTCGGAGACTATTTCCTCTTTTTAAATTTTCACTTTTGGTCGAAAGGCTCACAGTTCAAAATTTATTTTCACTGACAAAAGCGAAAATTGAAAATTTATCGATCTAGAAGGTGGTAACGTTGAAAATGCTAAACATGATTTAACTGCAAAGTATGTTTCTAAATTAAAAGACATCCGAGAACGTGTGAACTGGACTATTTTCGGGAAAATCAGCTAAATCAATTTATCTTGATCTTTAAAGGGGACGTTTGATAGCGGGGTACATGTTGATAGACTTCCAAGGCCCTGTTTAATCATTTCACACCATCTTTCTGAAACATGTCAAAAGGATGGAATTATTCAGGTTGTAGATTTCAGATTTGGTGTCATTTTTCTTTAAGTCAAAAGCATAAGCTTAAACCCAAAAGTTAATTATAGAATCGTTTCTTTTTTTTATTTTGATTATTATTATCGTTTGAAAGAAAAGGTACATAGTTCTAATTCGTAGCTTTTTTTTCAACGAAAAGAAAAACCTGACAATCTTCAGTCTTAAGCAGTAAACCAGCTGCTTTTCTACCGAAGTTGTCTTTCCAACTGTGGTTGTCACCGCTCAACTGAACTGTAAGTCGTCGTTCCGAAGTTCGAAGTTGAATAAATGAAGTAAGTTTAGTCCAACGTTGCTGTTTAGCAATTTACTGAACTTGTTAAAGTGGAGGTGAGTGACATTAGTTACTCCCCGACTGACTCTTTTCCATGGCAATGTTTCCAATTCCTACATTTGTTTAGATTTGCGATAATAGTGTTAGTTACTATTTGATTAACAGACGCGGCGGACTAGGAATGTGCTGTTCTTGCCATTCTGGACTAAGTACTGTGAAGAATTCGAAATGATCCCTGATAAAGAATACTGTTTGTTCTCCATTAAAAACTACCTCTCATAAAAGCTTCCAATCAATCTTAGCCTACACTTCGTACTTCCTAACGGGCGGTTACTGTATTAGCTAATTATAAGGTGAGTAATCCCTTGCGTTTATATCTGATACATTGAATGACTTTCAAAACTTTCTCTTTGTCATACATCAATAATCATCAATAATCATCTGCTTTAATAGGAGGTTTCAGCTAGATGGGCATAATTCCTATCACAGTGGTGAGTTTCTTTCGGGTTTTTTTTTATTATTATTATTGATATTCATTATCTACTATCTAATTTTATTATTACATATGGCCTCATAGCTCTGTCTAATCTCTTTTGCCGTCATTTTTCACGGCAAGCCAAACACAAAGTGTACATTACCCTTGTGAGATAACTTTCAGAATTCCAAGGAATTTCCCAGGAATTCATAGGAAAAAAATTCCTAGGAATTCCAACGCAAATATACTTACCTTGAAAATTCCTTAAAATTCCCAAAAATTCCTAGGAATTTCTGAGAATAACTTGGAATTTGTAGGATTTTTTAAGAATAGCTTGGAATTTTTTGGGAAAATCTGAGAAAAACTGGGAACTTCTGATCATTTGTAGGCCAGACAAAATTTTGATGAAATGCCGGGCTTTAAAATAACAAATAAAGTCATTGATATCACATCAAACAAGTTTTAAATCAAAAGTTTATTACATTGGCTTTCATGAATTTAAACGTAAGAATAATTATCTGTTCCTTTTTATTACACCAAGAATCAAAAGTGAAACCGAAAACAGATATGAAGGTCAAACTTTTGCTGGTCTTAAACAAAATACTATGTTCAATATAAAATTTGCTTGTTAAATTCAAAATACATGTTTGATAAAAAGAGAACTGTTTTAGATAATTAACTTACCTTTTTGGTTTACAAATCCAACAGTTTTCCATACACAGAGATTAAATTATTGTTATTATGTAGAACCAATCTGGATTCTCTTGATTATAAGGAATCAATCATAACAACAAAGCTAAAACATTCATTCAAATAAAAAAAGGTTGACTTAGCTGCTGTTCAGTTTTTTTCTGTTGAGTCCGCAGCGTCCTTTGTTGCCCTCTAATTAGTGAGTCAACAGCTAGCCAGCCACTCCATCTTATATTTTTGTTCCATGACACCTAAAACAAAATAAAAAATATATATTACATTGCGATATAAATGAGGTACTCTAAGCTGAGATCCAAATTTTCATTTGCTGACAGCTTAATACATGCAGCTAATTAAGACCTGACTGTAAGCTTTTTGAAATCCTTAAAAAAAGAAGACTTGATAATTGTGAAGGTGTTTTGTATACTACTGATAAATATGTTACATAGACCTTGAACTTACAGTAGATTAAATCAAGGCTTTCCTTTTGGAGGCCCACAGTCTCTCCTCAAGTGACAGTTGTTCTCCCCTAACGGGATGACTGCCTTACACTTCATCTGGAGTGAAAAGATAGAAAAGTAAGGTTTTTAATCCCTTAGGTGGCTTTGGTGTATTTCTCACCATGTGGAGCACCTGGGTCTGTAATTAAAAAATACCTAACAAATTGTAATGTCATTCTTCTGACACCTCAAGTATCTGATGATGTACATAAATTGTACACTAGACTTAGTCGCGTGTATTGGGATGAATGGATGGTCGGAAGATTTTAACGTAAAGGATCGTTGTAACAGATCCCATCCCGGGTACGAAAGGATCAGGAAAGCTACCCAAGGAGGATACCATCTTATTGCCTACTGTGTCGGGGAGGCGGGCAAGCCAAGGCCTTGCTGGTGATTGTCATTTTCTAGAGCGGAGGGAATTTTATTGGGACAGCTTTGCAAAAACTCCTCACTCGTCCATAAGGCAGAAGTTATGATTTTAAAAGTTGTGCGGAAGAAAACGAATCTGCGCAATGTCTACGAAAGAGTGCCAGAGTTTACTGACTCAAAAGTCGTTTTAGATTATATCGGAGTTCCTGAAAGTTCATACCTCGTACTGAAGACAATGTTCCTACACGAATGATTCGAACATCCTGAAGAAAAATCTTACTGGACTGTAGACAAACTTGCCCTCTCTCACTTTCGCTACGTGACAAATAAGATCGTGTTTACTTTGCAAGTTTATTTCGCCAGAAGCGACAGTCATTAATTTATTTGCAATTTTCGAGTTTTTCTTGTGGTTTTAGGCAAATGAAGTAAATTCTTTGGCTGTTTCATCGCAGCGAGTTCATAGATCGGAAGGAAAATTGAATATTTGCAAGCCAAGCAAAGAACATGTAAAACGTGCAAGGATTACGTCATTGGTAGGGAAATAACCACCGTACCGTGAATAACGTAATTCTTGAATTATGTGACTCGTGTGACTACTT